CGGAACTCGACAAATGTGGGTTTTTCCAAGCTTATCCCCCGATACAAACAAAATTTTAACATTATGGTGCACTACCTATTACAATAGATTAGTCAACCTGTTGCGTTTATTTTTGAAGTAACAAAATTAATATACCTGTTGAAGTTTGTTTGTACCCCCACGCTTGCCTTCCAATTATCTGGGAAAAACCCAAAATATTCTTAATTCCAGAGTAAGCCTATTCAGGAGTGTATAGATACATGTACATGTATAAAAAATATTTGCCCAATAAAACAAGCGTTGGATCTATATAAAAATTTTGTCAAATCAGTTGAAAGAGGAATTATGTATTATCATAAACTTCCTATTTCAGTTTAAAACATGTGTGAAGAAACTCAAATATAGTTTAAGGATTTCACATACTGTCATCAGTCAAAGAATTGAATGTCAGAGTATTTCAAATGACAATGCATATAAATATCCCAATAAAGCATTTAAAAAATTATATGTCATGTACAAAACTGAATTAAATCCATATTAGTTTGACAGGCATGACATAGAGGTGAAATCAAGAGAGAGAAAAAAATGCTTTAAATAAAGGCTGTATAATATAATAATTCATAATAAATAAAAATGGCAAGGAAGACTGAATACAAAAAAAACCTACATGTGATTTTGTACATTTCAGATGTGACCACACAGTTACCTATAATGATGTCAGACCAGCATTTTCAAGCAGAAAAACAGCTAGCTTGTGAAACATGTGGAAAAGTTTTCAAATCAAATTGGGCATTAAACAGACATGGTCGTATACATACTGGAGATAGGCCATATGCTTGTTCTTTATGTGATAAACGTTTCATTGAGAGAAATAAACTTAAACTGCATTTTAGGACACATCAGAAGAAACAAATGTTAACATCCAATCAGAATCAAGATGATCAGTATTAACATCCAATCAGAATCAAGAAAGTATTAAGATCCAATCAGAATCAAGATGTTTATTATTAATAGCCAATCAGAATCAAGATGTTTATTATTAACAGCCAATCAGAATCAAGAGAGTATTAACATGCGATCAGAATCAAGATGTTTATCATTATCAGCCAATCAGAATCAAGATGTTTATAATTATCAGCCAATCAGAATCAAAATATTTAGTGTCAGAATCTTTATAATTTAGTATTAACATCCGGTCATAATCAAGATGTTTATATAAACAGCCAATAGAAATCCATTTGTCTTCATATATAATCTAAATCTGTTGGATTTTTTTTATGTGAGGAAGCTTATATACAGCTAGCTTTTGAAATGTTGGTGATTTAATTCAGGTGCCAGCTTGTGCCTGGAATCATGCACAGAGTCTAGAATGCCACTATGACCTTTCTGATAGGGCAAATATGAGTTACATGTATATTGGTTGAAGAGCGTTGAATGCTCTCCCTAGCTAGCAGACTTTATTAAGCAAATTTTGAATATTACTACATGTACTACAGTACTTATATACATACATGGTTGTGTAACTTTGTTATATTTGTCATCAAGTAATAATTTAGTTTAGTTTTTAAAAAGAAAATGATGGGTCAAAAGTTTTTGTTATGTTTTTGTAGTAACCATAGGAACTTTTGAATGTGGCTCATATTTCTGAACCTGCAACTGCTTTTTTAAATGTTTCTTCTACGTCAGACTATAAGAATATAATATCAAATTAACATTTATTTTGTATGTTGTAAATTTTACCAATCAATTTGCTGTAAATTTTACCAATTTTTAAATGCGCAGATTATATTAGATTAAGATTATAAACGAAAGTACACCCTCTAGGATAATATGAAAAGTGAGCCGGTGACCCATTGTCCGAGTTCTTGGTAGTGACATAAATCTAAATGACTTCTGTAATGTGGTAATGTTTACGATGCAGAAATATTTGCAAATTTCGCAAATGGACGAAAAGTTGCTAAAATTTCCTCTAGCAACCTGTCATGAAATTCTGATTTATTATTTCCTCAAGTGAAATGTCTGGAATTTCAAATTCGCTAACTTTTCGACATGGGAAAAGATCCACTTACACGGTGTAATATTGTTTGAGTGTTTTTGTTCATATATTGCATAAGGTATTTCAGATTTTGTTCTGCTTTGAAAATGAATTTTGTAATGTTGTTTTTTTAATTTATTTAAATTCTTTTCTCTATTTTATTTTTTTTTCTGTAAAAATTCATTTTGTAAAAATATATATGTTTATACATTAAAGCTTATAATATTGAAGAAACAGCCTTCAAACTGTTAAATTGTAACAACTTCATAAAATTACTGTTGTTAAAACAATTGAATACATAATAATGTAGCAAGCAAAACTTATTTAGAGGTGCTTGTTTGATACAGGGCTATTACACCTTTTTTATGCATTAAAATCTGCAGAAGCACAAGGATGCATGATTTAAGTGTTATAATTCTTGCTTTAAATTTATATATTGTCACCATAGTGCAGTAATGGGTTAACAAATAGGAGGTAACTCATTATTGCACTTAAAGGTGATGATATGTCCGATTCGGTAACCATTTTGCCATGATTCTCACATGCTTAGATTTGTTGTTTATTTGACAGTTATGAATCTTAAAAGAGCTACCTGATTGCCATAAGCTATTTTAACATGGTGCCCAGAGTCATTCCTTTTTAGCTCACCTGTCACAAAGTGACAGGGTGAGCTTTTGTGATTGCTTTTCGTCCGGCGTCCGGCCGGCGTCCGTCCGTCCGTCCGTCCATCCGTCCGTCCGTAAACTTTTACTTTAAATGACATCTCCTCATAAACCACTAAGCCAATTTCATCCAAACTTCACAGGAATGTTCCTTTGGTGGTCACCTTTAAAAATTGTTCAAAGAATTTAATTCCATGCAGAACTCTGGTTGCCATGGCTACCGAAAGAAAAAACTTTAAATATCTTCTTTTAAAAAACCCTAAGAGCTAGAGCTTAGATATTTGGCATGAAACATCTTCTAGTGAGTGTCTACCAAGTTTGTTCAAATAAAATCCCTGGGGTCAAAATTGGCCCCGCCCCAGGGGGTCATTGATTTTCCCTATATGCATATAGTAAAACTTAAAAATTCTTCTTTTAAAGAACCCAAAGAGCTAGAGCTAAGATATTCAGCATGAAACATCTTCTAATGAGTGTTGTACCAAGTTTGTTCAAATAAAAGCCCTGGGGTCAAAAATGGCCCCTCCCCAGGGGGTCATTGATTTTCCCTATATGCATATAGTAAAAACTTACAAAATCTTCTTTGAAAGAACTCAAAGAGCTAGAGCTAAGATATTCAGCATGAAACATCTTCTAATGGGTGTCTACCAAGTTTGTTCAAATAAAAGCCCTGGGGTCAAAATTGGCCCCGCCCGGGGGTCATTGATTTTCCGTATATGTGTATAGCAAAAACTTAAATAATCTTCTTTGAAAAAACCCAAATAGCTAGAGTTTAGATATTAAGCATGAAACATCTTCTAGTGAGTGTCTACCAAGTTTGTTCAAATAAAATCCCTGGGGTCAAAATTGGCTCCGCCCCAGGGGGTCCTTGATTTTCCCTATATGCATATAGTAAAAACTTACAAAATCTTCTTTGAAAGAACCCAAAGAGCTAGCGCTAAGATATTCAGCATGAAACATCTTCTAATGAGTGTGTACCAAGTTTGTTCAAATAAAAGCCCTGGGGTCAAAATTGGCCCCGCCCCAGGGGGTCATTGATTTTCCCTTTATGCATATAGTAAAAACTTACAAAATATTCTTTGAAAGAACATAAAGAGCTAGAGCTAAGATATTCAGCATGAAACATCTTCTAATGGGTGTCTACCAAGTTTGTTCAAATAAAATTCCTGGGGTCAAAATTGGCCCCGCCCCGGCGGTCATTGATTTTCCTTGTATGTGTATAGCAAAAACTTAAATAATCTTCTTTGAAAAAAACCCAAATAGCTAGAGTTTAGATATTAAGCATGAAACATCTTCTAGTGAGCGCTACAAAGTTTGTTCAAATTAAAGCCCTGGGGTCAAAATTCCAGGCCCCGCCCCGGGGGGTCTTGATTTTCCCAATCTGCATATAGTAAAAACTTAAAAAATCTTCTTTGAAAAAACCTAAATAGCTAGAGTTTAGATATTAAGCATAAAACATCTTCTAGTAAACGGCTACAAAGTTTATTCAAATAAAAGCCCTGGGGTCAAAACTGGCCCCGCCCCAGGGGTGTCATTTTTTTTTAACTATAAGTGTGAAGTAAAAACTTAAAAATCTTCTTTTAAAAAACCCAATGAGCTAGAGCTCTAGAGCTTAGATGTTTAGCATGAAATATCTTCTTATGGATGTCTACAAAGTTTGTTCAAATAAAAGCCCTTGGGTGAAAATTGGCCCTGCCGGGGGGGGGGGGGGGGGCAGAGAGTGGGGACCGGGGGGCGGTGAGATCATTGTGTAGTAAATTATTATTGTGAAAAACATCTTCTAATGAGTGTCTTCCAAGTTTGTTCAAATAAAAGCCCTGGGGTTTAAACTGGCCCCGCTTCGGGGGCCTATAATACAGGTGAGCGACCTCAGGGCCATCATGGCCCTCTTGTTAAAACTAGAGAGCCTAGATGCGTTCAAAAGGTAGTAAGCTGAATTTATCATAATTACACTGGGGGCTTGCGCCCCCAAAAAAGCAACAATTGTGTGAGATCTTGTGATTAATTATTCATTAATGCATGTTTTCTTCTCCATTAATGTATACCTGCTTACATAATTATTCTTATGCAAGAATGATTGACAGTGTTAATTGTATCAATAATTTAATAACTTCTCAGTCATATGGTATAACTGTTTAACAATGATAGGCATATCCTGGCCTCACTATGGAACATTTATACAAGTACGGGTAAAGACATACATGTATAAATCAGTTTTAAACCGGGACTATAGGTTAGTGTATTAGAATTACTGTCAGCCAAACTATAATAAATGTGCAAAAGATGGTATATACAGACCGGTTCCTGTTTTATTCTTATATTTTCAGGTGAATCATGGTATGATATTGAAGACCAGTCTACATCCGATTATGGCAGACGGCAACAATCTGTTACAACTGGAGGACGACATTATTGTAACTTGTGTGGAAAACTGTTTCCAAGCAACTGGAAATTACAGAGACATATGAGAGTTCATACCGGAGAAAAGCCATTTATCTGTAGTTTCTGTAATAAAGGCTTCAATGTGAAATCAAATCTCAAAGTTCACATAGTAGCTCAACATCATCATCAACTTTAACGGAACAATTAATGATATGATCATATCATTCTACATGGTGTTAGAATTTCATAACTCTTTGCTGAATTAAAAACAACTAAAAAAATAATCAGATCAAAAATAAGGAACAATTATACGATCAGGATCAATATTTGGATCAACTGTAACATGCCCGTATCTTGTTATATTCCAAATTTCATAAACATTATAGTCTGAGTCCAGTCTTATCAAGCTAATAATTAATTTATGAAGTTGAACAATGTGGAAATTATTTGAGTTTTTAAATTTGATCCTGACCCTGATTCTGATCTTTATATCTTAGCGAACATGTGCTCAATTTGTAAGATTAAAAAGGTACAATAGAGGCTCATAGGGAAGACTATGTTGCCTCTTTAAATAAAGTCTTTATTATTATTATTATTATTATTATTATTATTATTATTATTACAATCATGTAAGTTGTGATAATTGCTAAATAATACTGATGTAGGTCCTAAATTTCCTGAATTGAGTGTTTATTATGTTGTAGCATTGTAGGTATATTACATTTTTCATGACCTTGATAATTTTTATTATACTTCACCCATAGTAAGCTGATAATATAACCAGAATTATTTGTTTAATACAAAAGAAATTAAGATGCCATTGCTGTTTTATGAAGTCATGTGGGCTGGGGGGGGGGCTGCCTTTAAAGGGTTAACGGCATCAGAATTGCAGCCACCATTTATAGCTACATTATCATAAGGGGTGATTAAATGGGTTAGGATAATTGGAGTCTATGCATCTCTTAGCTCCAGTAGGTGAGGTGGATTTGAGCCCCGTTGTTGCTTTAAGTTTGTAACACCTGAGATTAGCTAAAATCATCGTCCCTGTTTGGCGCCGTATGTTCTTATTTTGTGTTGGAGTGCTGTAAAATCCAACCAAACCAAGCAAACTATGGTGAGAGCTCAAGATAATTGGTTATTGTAACCTTTAAGGTGCTCCATTCCATACAACAAATGAGCCGCGTCACGACAAAACCAACATAATGGGTTTGCGACCAGCATGGATCCAGACCAGCCTGCGCTTCCGCGCAGTCTGATCAAGATCCATGCTGTTCGCTTACAAACCCTATAACAAGTAGAGAAAGTGATAGCGAACAGCATGGATCCTGATCAGACTGCGCGGATGCGCAGGCTGGTCTGGATCCATGCTGGTCGCAAACCCATTATGTTGGTTTTGTCGTGACGAGGCTCAAATGTAGTTGGATCTTACTTTCTCTTAAGTTAAGTACTTGATTAAAACCAGGAATATTTATCACACACATCCCTGATATAGTTAGATTATTTTCACCTGTGTCAGGTCCACATTTTCACATTACTTGAATATTTATGGCAAATCAGTGACTTGCCATTTTTGTCAATTGACCTTTCACAACAGTAAATAGAGGATATTGAATGAGTGTGGGTTCCATACTAAATTCGTTCAATACTAAAATTCATTGCAAGCCTCTGGTGAGCGTAATATTATTTCATTGAGCAAGTTCAATAATTTCAGTTATGAACCTACACAAATATTCTATTTATCACATACCCAAAATAAAGACTGTTTAAAGAAAAAAAAGAATAACTTTTCATTGACACGGCTATATTGTAACACTAACATTAAGCACATTTTTTACGTTAATATGTTTGTGTAACAAATGACATCATGTCAAAATATATGCACAGAGGTGCAGTACCGTTTTTACGGAGTCGCAAAAGTGGCTAGGGTATTTGATAAAATTATTTATTCGGGATAAGTTATTGTTCGGGATAAGTTATTATTTGGGATAAGTTATTGTTCGGGATAAGATAAGTTATTGTTCGGGATAAGTTATTATTTGGGATAAGTTATTGTTCGGGATAAGTTATTATTTGGGATAAGTTATTGATTGGGATAAATTGTTTTTGATAAGTTATTATTTGGGATAAGTTATTATTTGGGATAAGTTATTATTATTTGGGATAAGTTGTTTGGGATAAGTTATTATTCGGGATAAGTTATTATTTCACATAATGATTTATCTTGATATTTCATAACATTCAGTGACTTTCAACATATTAACAATTGTGCCCAATTATAAAACAAAATTAACAATACAGGTTTGCTTGACTTTTATTTATTTCTTCAGGACTAACTTACGTTAACTTACGTTGTAAGGACATTTTTTTTTGGTTCAAATCAATTGTTCAGAAAGACATAGAATTGAACAGAATACTGATAGTCAGAGTTGAAAGGTCACCATCAGGTAGGTTTTTCATTGAACATGAATTGTAAATGTTGATGCTTATATCAAGGTCAAGGTCACCGGGTTTAGTATAGATTTCTTTGTATCACAAAACGTATGAAGAAGAAGTTTATATAGAGGATATTTGTTTGTTTGTGTGTAAGATGAAATTTTATTTCATCGAGTGGGCTTTAAAAACAGTATTCTCACGAGTGGCGTAGCCACGAGTGAGAATACTGTTTTTAAAGTTCACGAGATGAAATAAAATTACATCTTACACAACAAACAGACAAATTTTCTTTTTATTTTATGCTTAAAAACAAGTTAAAACGAAATTTCCATAATTTTAACGTTAATATTAAAATCTGTTTCCCCCATTGAGAGCCCCATTTAGACGGAATTTCTCATTTAAAACAAGAAGTCTTGAGCTGAAAAAAAAGTCCGCCAATCAAGGTTAAATGACGGTGATATTTATTCATTTTATCAAAAAATATGAATGATCGCTTGTTTTAATAATAAAAAGAAACAAAATCTTGTAGGAGAAAAAGTCCAACCATCCATCCATATTTCTGTTACTTACTGCGAATTTATATTAGACCTGGCTTGTAAAATGTAAGCGGCAGCCCATTTTTTAAAGTTGTGTATTTCATGGGAGGAAAATAATTGTGTAAGATTCAGAAGGATATGTTTTGGATTTGTTAGTCATACACCTTTTTAAAAGAAAGAAAACTTATTTGAGGATTGTAACAGACAAAAAATAAACTGTTGACAGAAGTTGAAAACATTCAGAAAAGGAGCTAGGAAATTGGAAAACTTGGAAGCTTGCAAAGGAACGCTGGGTATTTTTACTTATTTTACGAGTGATGGCTGTCAATGCTTTTCAATTTTTCATAAAGCATACGGCAGTTATTGCTCGTAAGATACTTTAATATGCCCAAATGTCATCAAGAGCAGTTTTGCATGGGGAAGGAATGTATTTCTTTAAATAGCCAGACATTGTCAGAATTGTCAGTAAAAATAAAATTGTAATTTGAGGTACTACATGGGGAAAATCTTAAAAAAGTAGTTTCGTCATTGAAAAAGTGAAATTATATTTTGATAATTTTCACTGTGAAATTATCAAATATAATTTTCACGGATAAATCAGTAATCCACTGAAAAGCATAAAATAAAATAATTTATTTTTTTCATCTGTTTTTCAGAAGGAAATAAACAATCCTATCCCTGTAACCATTGTGGACGTATGTTTGACAGGAAGTACAATCTTGAAGTGCACACACGAATTCATACTGGAGAACGTCCATTCGTCTGCAAAGTTTGTGGAAAGGCTTTCAACCGAAAGTCAATTTTACAAGCACATATGCTCACACACATGTCTAGCAATGTTTTATATTAGATTTAATTTGAGAAATAATCTGCTTTTTACAAAGTGTATATGTTCACATATATGTACAAAATGTTCAAAGTTTTTTAACTACAATATATTTTATTGTTTTAAACATTATTATTCTTATTTGTTAGATGAACAGAAAATATAAAACAGTAATTAAAAACTATGTGTCATTACTTTTATACTCCTTACCTTTTTTTCCAAACAAAACCAGAAAATTAGATGTGTCCCTATAACAATTATACCCTTACTTTTGATGTCACTGTGGCATATTTTAGGAAACTCATATTCTAGATGAGACAAGTAATTCACATTTCACTGTAACCTTGACCTAATAAACTCAGTCACGGTAAGCTTGAGCTAATTACCACAGTCACTGTAACCTTGACCTAATTACCTCAGTCACTGTTACCTTGACCTTATTACCTAAGTCACTGTAACCTTTGGGCATATTGTCCCTACCAAAGTCTTAAATCATAGTGTTTGTTTTGAATGTAGGTATTTATAAAATAACATGTAATATAATGTAAATAAGTGGAATTTCTAACTGAATATGTCTAATTTGAATAAAAGAATAAATAAACTATGTATGGGAAGCTGTGTTCCCGTTTACAGGTCAAGTAAAGTTGGTCTTTACTTAAAGGTCCGTGGCCACCATATGCACATGCCAATTGTAATATTTGATCTGGAAGGAAAGCGTCGCCGGATTCATCAAGATAGAAAGTTATCCAGTTAGCTGACGGAAGTCTGTGGTTCTACTCAGGTGCCCGTTTTTGTATCTTGTTATATTCCAAATTTCATAAACATTATAGCTTAATATCCAATCCTGTCAAGTTATTATTTGATCTATGCAGTGGAACAATGTGGAAATTATTTGAGTTTTTAAATTTTATCCTGATCCTGATCCTTATATGTTAGTGAACATGTGCTCAATTTGTAAGATTAAAAGGTACAATCATGTAAGTTGTGATAATAGCTTAATAATAATGATGTACCGTAAAATTCCTATTAAACGCCCCCAGGGCTAAACATTTTCAGAAAGGGGGGCTATTATTACAATAAATCCCAAAATCACTGTAAATACATTTAGTGTTAGCAAGTGTTGGTAATAACATTAAAAAGTGTTAAGGTTTTAAAGTTCATATTATACATATTTGTGTTTACTATAAAATACTATGGATTCTAAATGATTGGAATAAAATTATGGTTTTAATTATGAGTTCAGCACTGATAAGTAGATTGTTTTCCTTATCAAAAGGCCTGGGGGGGCCTTTATTAGGGGAGGGGCGTTTATTAGGAATTTTACGGTAGGTCCTGAATTGAGTGTTTATTATTCTGTAGCATTGTAGGTATATTATTACATTTTTCATGACTTGAATTGTTTTTTATTATACTCCACCCATAGTAAGATGATAATATTACCAGAATTAGTTGTTTAGACTACAATGGTAATTAGGATGCCATTGCTGTTTTATGAAGTCATGTGGGCTGGGGGGCTGCCATTAAGGGTTTGAGGCATCAGAATTGCAGCCACCATTTATCGCTACATTATCATAAGGGGTGATTAAATGGGTTAGAATAATTGGAGTATATTATGCATCTCTTAGCTCCAGTAGGTGAGGTGGATTTGAGCCCCGTTGTTGCTTTAAGTTTGTAACACCTGAGATTAGCTAAAATCATCGTCCCTGTTTTGGCGCCATATGTCCTAAATTGTGTTGGAGTGCTGTAAAACCCAACCAAGCAAACTATATGCTGAGAGCTCAAGTTAATTGGTTATAACCTTTAAGGCGCTCAATTCCATACAACAAATGAGCCGCGTCACGACAAAACCAACATAATGGGTTTGCGACCAGCATGGATCCAGACCAGCCTGCGCATCCGCGCAGTATGATCAGGATCCATGCTGTTCGCTTACAAACACTATAACAAGTAGAGAAAGTGATAGCGAACAGCATGGATCCTGATCAGACTGCGCGAATGCGCAGGCTGGTCTGGATCCATGCTGGTCGCAAACCCATTATGTTGGTTTTGTCATGACACAGCTCAAATGTAGTTGGATCTTACTTTCTGTTAAGTTAAGTACTTAATTAAAATCAGGAATATTTAGCACACACACATCCCTTATAAAAATTTTAGTTAGATTATGGCAGTGATGGCTGTCAATGCTTTTCAATTTTTCATAAAGCATACGGCAGTTATTGCTCGTAAGATACTTTAATATGCCCAAATGTCATCAAGAGCAGTTTTGCATGGGGAAGGAATGTATTTTTCAGACTGTAAAAACGAAACAAAAAAAAAATTTAGAGACGAAATTTTGTGATTGGAATTTGAAGGAATAGAAGTAAGTTTTCTCTCTTACTACTTTTGACATTTAAGTTATTTATCTATTTCAGCTTTGCTATTTCTTTAAATAGCCAGACATTGTCAGTAAAAATAAAATTGAGGTACTACATGGGGAAAATCTTAAAAAAGTAGTTTCGTCATTGAAAAAAGTGAAATTATATTTTGATAATTTTCACTGTGAAATTATCAAATATAATTTTCACGGATAAATCAGTAATCCACTGAAAAGCATAAAATAAAATAATTTATTTTTTTCATCTGTTTTTCAGAAGGAAATAAACAATCCTATCCCTGTAACCATTGTGGACGTATGTTTGACAGGAAGTACAATCTTGAAGTGCACACACGAATTCATACTGGAGAACGTCCATTCGTCTGCAAAGTTTGTGGAAAGGCTTTCAACCGAAAGTCAATTTTACAAGCACATATGCTCACACACATGTCTAGCAATGTTTTATATTAGATTTAATTTTGAGAAATAATCTGCTTTTTACAAAGTGTATATGTTCACATATATGTACAAAAATGTTCAAAGTTTTTTAACTACAATATATTTTATTGTTTTAAACATTATTATTCTTATTTGTTAGATGAACAGAAAATATAAAACAGTAATTAAAAACTATGTGTCATTACTTTTATACTCCTTACCTTTTTTTCCAAACAAAACCAGAAAATTAGATGTGTCCCCTATAACAATTATACCCTTACTTTTGATGTCACTGTGGCATATTTTAGGAAACTCATATTCTAGATGAGACAAGTAATTCACATTTCACTGTAACCTTGACCTAATAAACTCAGTCACGGTAAGCTTGAGCTAATTACCACAGTCACTGTAACCTTGACCTAATTACCTCAGTCACTGTTACCTTGACCTTATTACCTAAGTCACTGTAACCTTTGGGCATATTGTCCCTACCAAAGTCTTAAATCATAGTGTTTGTTTTGAATGTTACCTTGACCTAATTACCTAAGTTACTGTAACCTTAACCTTATAACCTCAGTCACTGTAATCTTAACCTAATTACCTAAGTCACTGTAACCTTTGGGCATATTGTCCCTACCAAAGTCTTAAATCATAGTGTTTGTTTTGAATGTAGGTATTTATAAAATAACATGTAATATAATGTAAATAAGTGGAATTTCTAACTGAATATGTCTAATTTGAATAAAAGAATAAATAAACTATGTATGGGAAGCTGTGTTCCCGTTTACAGGTCAAGTAAAGTTGGTCTTTACTTAAAGGTCCGTGGCCACCATATGCACATGCCAATTGTAATATTTGATCTGGAAGGAAAGCATCGCCGGATTCATCAAGATAGAAAGTTATCCAGTTAGCTGACGGAAGTCTGTGGTTCTACTCAGGTGCCCGTTTTTGTCTTAAATTAAGTACAGCAGGGCACCTGAGGTCTTCCTCCACCATGAAAGCTGGAAAGTCGCCATATGACCTATACTGTTTTGTGCGACGTAACCCCACCCCCACCCCCCCCCCCACCTGCTGTGTGACATAATCCTGATCAAAATAAACTTGCAAAGAGTCAAATATAAGGTTTATGTACTGAAAACTGTATCACTGTTGATAGGCGTACAATAACCAAACCGACTTTTTTAATCGGGCCTTATAGAAACAGAAATTCATTTCAAAAAGAGGGAGAGTAATCTTACTTATATAGTTTGATATATACGAATTCCATTATCTTTTTGAATGTTCACATTTTGTCAATACAAGAAAGCTGTATCTTGATAAATATTTCTATGAACGTCCAAGTGCTTTAAAATTTGAAAAATTAATGAACCATAGTAATAAAGATATCCTTTTGAAACTTGCCATATTTTGCAAAAATATTATGTTATTATTTAAATAATGTTAGCTTATTAGATTATATATGTATTTTCTCTTTGTTTTTTTCTCGCAATGATTTTTTATTTTTCTCTCTCATCCTCCATTATCAGTCAATTATTACAGTAATTTTATTACATCATGGAGTTGTATGACCATTTATAATTTGCCATTTTGTTTTTACATATTATTTGCCATTTTGTATTATTTTGTATGTATGTACTGTTTTATGTTGTCACATGCCCATATGGGCCCTGACGTATTCAAATAAACCTTGAAACCTTGAAACCTTGATAGTCAGTTAACTCCCTTTGATAATCGAATGATTTGATTTTATTCATAACTAGCTTTGGATGTGAGAGGTCCCGGGTTCGAATCCAGGTCCAGATTTGAAAATATTTTAGAGTCTTTTTTGTTCAGTTATAAAATCAATTTTACTAAGATGTGCAACGAAAAGGTACTCGATTGTGTTAAAAAGATGAAAAATAAAGCTTGTACATATATACTAATGCCAGTTTGAAACTCTGGCTTAGAAACATATAATAATGTGTATCATACTATTATAATTAGCCGTAAAAACAATCATATATATTTTTTACAACTTATCTATTTAGTTTTTGAAGATGTGTTTGCAGAATGACGTATGATTCCATGATGTACTGATATTTCGTAGGTAAAATTTAGTAAACCTTGTCGTTGAATATGCATTTTTAACACTTTCAGAAACAGTAAACATTTCTGAAGTGACCAATTTCTCTTTCTTTAAATTTTTGTTCACATTGATTCTTAAAAAGTTGCCCGTTACTTAACATACGTAGCACGGTTAATTCATCATTGATTTGAATGCTTTCAGTACTTAAATATATAAACTCATAACCTGCTTAAACTGAAAGTGATATACCTTAAAGAAAGATATGCTTTAATTCTTTTTTTTATATTAATGCAAAGGTTGCGCGTTAAACAGTCCCCCGCCTTTTTTTTACAGAATCATGCATGGCTCGTCAGATCCATGTGTAAGGGTATCTAGAAAAACTTAAATCAAATACATCTTCAAAAACTAAATAATATATATAATTGTTTTAATGCTAGTTTGATACATATTATTATGTTTCTAAGCCCGCGTTTCAAACCGGCATTAGTATATTCTATGTACAAGCTTTATGTTTCATATTTTTAACACAATCGAGTACCTTTTCTTTCATTAAAAAAACAAGACACTAAAATATTTGATATGAAGGTTCTGATATAGTTGCCTTATAAAACTGTATCAAACAAGTTCACGAATTTGTTAAAAAGTAGGCCTCTGTCAAGCCTTTCTTGGGCGAGTTTAATACAATTTTGCAACACAATAACATGAAATGAAACCAAACTTGAAATTCTTTTTTATCACATGACTATAAAATTTACTCGTTTTGACAGGTGTTATGTAACACCTGTGTAATCGAAAAATTAACTAATAGTTTTACTACATATACATGGAAAACAAGCGATTTTATGCGATATCGTTTATTTAAAAATATTCTAATCACAAAATATAAATTTACCAATATATCACATATATAAATTCAAATGGACGGACTGTACTACCTGCTAAAAACATTAAAATAACTAGAATTAAACATTAAATACACATCTTAAATATAATAAAATTTACATAAATGAAACATAAAATTTAGAGTAAACGTTTACTTGGACTAAAAAAATTCTACATTTGGGTAAACATATACTTGAACCAATAAAATTCTACATTATGTAAACGTACCCTCATGTAGAATTGTATCAGTTCAAGTAAATGCAATACATATATTGATTTGAAAAAAATATTTTCAAAATTCTGAAAAAGAAAAAATCTTACCTTACTTATGTTAATGAAGAATATTTTAAGATTTGTAATTTACCTTCCAAACAATAGCTTTAGTTATCACAGCTTAAACTTTTTATAATATGACTAAGACTTTATTAACCAATTGCTTGCTGTAAATAATTGTACCCATGTGACAAGTGCAGACCAAGAAAAGCTGACTTTTCTTCTGTGTACGTTGTTCTGCATTGTTAATCAGTCGGTATTTATTTTGAAATTTAATAAAAAATGTCCAGATTGAATAATGTACAAGTCAATTTAAGATATTTAGCAATGTAAGAGTTAAACTGCCAATGAAAGCACTACAAATTCACCTGTATCAAAACACCTATACATTTATCAATACAAGAAATTCACACTATGCCTCAGACAAGAATATTTTTTTTCCTTCTAAAGGAAGGGCATACATCAGTTTTATAATATTTAAATCATTATTTAATGTAATGTGAAAATTTGAAACACTATAATAGGTTTCCCAAATGTTTAAAGAAGGCATATTTAACTTTTCAAATATGAAATGTTATTTAATACAATGTAGTAATAATGCCTGTTAAACAATGCCTGTTTATCTATGACATCTGACATTTAAAGTTACTGATTTTCTGAAGTATAGCAAACTCCAAGAGAAATATGATAAAATAGGTTTTACCCTTTCTAGCGAAAGCCAGGGTCATTCAAACATAAACTTCTAATATTCTATTTGAAAGACCATGTTGATATCTTACATAATAGCACATTTTTACTTTATACTATGAAATATGAGTTGCTTAATACTCAATAACCTTTCGCATAATTTGCAAACATTGTATTAACATTTTTGAGCGAAGTTAGTAGAAAAATATACATATATTAAATTCTTTCAAAATAATAGTAAAAATAAGGAATTGAGGGTTTGCTTGAATAATGTAGTGAGGGCGCCGGTTGAGCATACCGCCTCCCCTCTAAACCCGCCCGTCTATTTTATATACCTATTCTATTTATAGTCAAAATGGGTTTCTTGTTTAAGGTCACATGACGCGTACATTGCAGTGCATTTTAAAGCGAAAGTTCACACTAAGAAAGAACAATAAATTACTTTGCAACACTTACATTTTATTTCTACAATTGTAAAAATATGCTGAAAATTGGTTTATGGATTAACACTATTTTGAACACATCGTTAAAGGACTGATCGACAGACATTTTCCAATAAAGTAATAATGATAAAAGGAAATTAAAGTTAGAAAAGGTAAAACCTATTTTATCATCTTTCTCGTGGGAATTGCTAGATGTATTAAAAAAAATCATTTTTTTAAATGTATGTTTGTTACTTTGCTAAATTCATCAACTTATTATACACTATAAAACGTGTTCGTTGAAGTATCTGTAGCTACCTTTAGTCCAATATATTAGACGATACAGGCTTGTTATAGTTTGTGTCGGTCAAGCCTGACCTTATATATAAATCAATGTCTTTTCTATTTTATCTTACACGTAATTTATCTGGCTATTTTTAGAAATGTTTCTTTAGATACTGTATCGTGTGTATATTTAGCTGTAAAATTCCCATAGTTGTTTCTATTTATAATGAAAACGGTTTTCCGGTTTCTAATGGACAATTATTTTCGCTCCAGTAGGTAAAGGTTGCATCAGTATAACATAGCAAGCGTCAGTTAGGATGTAATTTTAATGAGAAAGGTAAAAAAAACTATTCTTATATTACGCCTTGTGTGTAACCCTGTTAATCTCAATATATTATAACTGGCTTTTTATGTCACCA